GAGATGTCCTGCAACCACTAGAAGAGCTAAAGGTAGTCCTTGGCATTTTTGTGCTACTTGCTTTCCGATATCTTCTAATTCAGGAGGACATACATGTTCTACACCAAACACCTTGCCCTTAAGTAACTTCCAACTATTATCCGAATTCAAGAGGCTCATCTTATGAGGTTTGCTATCGGGATCTGCATGCTTAGCGACCTGTTCGTGCCTACTAGTCAAAATAATTCGACTCCCATTGTTATCATCAGGAAAAATTCTTGTCATAAGATCCCAGATTTCCTTACTCCAAATATCATCCATGACAACAAGGTACCTCCGACACTTTAACTTTTTGTATATCATATCCATCAGCTGATTGTCAGTACTTTCGTTAATCTCATCTCTCACATCCATTGGATAAGTCTCACTAATGTGAGGAATACAAGAAAGAATGCTCAACCATAAATCTCTAATTCGATATTCTTGAGATATCGTTACCCAAACATGGATGTCAAAGCGATTCCTGATTTCAGGATGATGGTATGCTTTTTTAGCAAGAGTTGTCTTGCCAATACCGGCCATGCCCAAAATTGAGACAACTTCTCGACCACATGGTGGCCCTATTAGTCGTCTCATGATTTTCATCAAGTCGTCTTCAAGACCCACGACAACATTTTCTAGACTCATATTTACAATATGTCTAGATGATGAATCAAGACCTAGCAAAGAATCCACTTTTGTACTACTAATAATACTACTATTTTGCATCAAGATCTTCCTCTTCACAGCATCAATCTTTTCTAAAAGTGGAGGCAAATCGTCACATATAGGCTGGCGTGACAATCCAAGTCTTGAACGACAACGTTCCAATTGATTAAATTCATATATATTTAGTTCAATCACATTCTCTGCTTCATTCACTGCAATTCTTATCTCTCTCTCTAACTCCTCAAACTGTTGTTTACATGAGTCTTGCCTTCTAATATTGCAACTACTCTCAAGAAAGTTTTGGAAATATCCAACACTATCAAGGAGTGATTCCACCATTTTTCTTGTATCACCAATTACCCAACGTGGCTTTTGTTGCATGACCTGCTTCAAAGTTTGAATTAGAGAAATCACAGCTGCATAACCCATCTCACACCAATGTGTACAATAAATTTTAAACACAATAAGGTACTAGTTTTAAACACAATAAATATGTTCCAATTTTATCAAATGAGAAGCAATCTCTCTCGGCATACAAAGAATATTTGAAACGACTTTCAAACCATACCGTACCTGCTACTGAGTCAGAAGTGCCTTAATCACTCAAGTATTTTCAAAGAGTAGCTCGGTGTACAAAGCATCTCACGTTCACCCAGGGTATTAGAAAGGATCGCACCCCAACGACTGTAATGTAAACAGTCTTCTATGACTTGAACTACTCAAGGATTATATTAGAGAAAGAGAAGTTTTTGTTTTCAATGCATTGAAAATATTTTTTGGGTACAACAGTCCCTACTAAATTTTCAATATAATATTCTAATAAACATTGAGAGAAGAATATAACATTAAGCTTTGAAAAAATGTATACTATTTCGTTAATTTGTATGCAACTGATTTGCTTCCCAGAAGTTACAGAAGAGAAAGTCAACGGTCCAAATTAAACGACTCAGTCTTGTTCTATTAAACAAGTTTAATCGGTTGTCTGGTCCCTTTCTTTTTGCTCACCTAATACACACAGTCCAATGCCTTTATTTTATATAGTACCCAGTATTCAAAAATTCCCGGATTTTTACTATTAAGGTTCATTAAAAGAGAAAGCGTTATTTATTTGGAGTTTTTTCGTTCTTAAAGTTCGAATCCGAGACTTCTCACCTCAAATCCAAGTCCTCTAGCTATGGATCTGTATACGGTCGAAATAGATTTCGGTTTTCGCTTGTCCGATCGAGTTCGAACGATGATCTATCGAAATAAGATCCCGAAGGTGGAACAATTAACCTCGAACCCGAGGAGGCCAATCCGTGTCGGGTTCGATATCATTATCAAGTTCGAATCCAAATCGAACCATGATGCAGAGTAGATCTATCATGCCTATAACCCGGAGACCAACCAATATTGACCTCGAATCAATTCGAGAGATCGAGCCAGAATCGGGCTTGAACCAAGATCAAGAGCTCGGGTCGTGATCGAGCACAAATCAAAATTGGGGGCTCTAAGCAAAATCGAGCTCACAGACAAAAACCGTTGCAATCCCACTAGAGAGAATCTTGGCAGAGATTGTGAAAAAGCTGACTTATCATGGGTCTCACACTGAATGTTTATTTTATTATGCTTAGAGCCAAATCTCTCCACTATAAAAGGGCTTGGTTAC